AACGACATGAAGCTCGAAGGGTACGAGGCAGACGACAAACTTGCGCCTCCTGGAAGTGAAAGGAGGGACAAGCCGGACGAATTGGAGGATCAGGCACATGCGAAGCGGGCAAAGTTGGATACTTTGGCCGAAGCTGATGAGCCTCAGCACGCTGCCCCACCAGGCGTCGGCAAGGCTCTCAAGCCCCTCGACGACGACGAGGTGGCTTGAGGATTCCTGCGCCGCCCCTGTACTACTCCTGTCATCTGTTAAAGTGCAAGTGAATGCTCTATATTTCGCATCATGTTCAGTAATTCAAGGACTGTCACGAGGTGCTTCTGATAGCTATGCATAGCCAGTGATTCTATTCTATGTAGCGATAGTCGTAGAAGAGGTGCCGGAGCTAGTAGCATCGACACCACTAGGAGTAGGTTGATCAGGAGTGACCAATCCTGCACCACCTCTCGCCGAAGCGCTCTCGGCTGGAATAGAAGTCTGCAGCAAGCTGCCAAGTCTCGGAGGTGAGCTTTTGTCTATGAACTCGCTCTTCACGGGAAGCTTGGCCGCGGCAAGCGCTAGGGCTGCAGACCGGGTCGATGAGACGATACAAGCCAAATGAGAAAATTGCGTCAGGCGATATAGATGCTAAGAAAGGGGGGCAATTTTTCCAACGCTTTACTCACCATCCCTAGCTAGCTCTGGTCGAATGTCGACTGGCCCTCCGATCTCGAATATGACACGTCCTACCGGCGCTCTGCAATCGACAAGAAGGGTATGTGAGCTACACTGCAATCGCCCAGGTCCTCTTCATTCGGTCCACACCGATGATGCTCACCGGCAAGCCCAAAACGCAAACGCTCCCTTGCCCTTTCCCATTCTCGTTTCGTTTCCCTTGACGCAGACTGGAATGTCTGGAAATACTCGCAGATAGACCTGAGATCCCCTGAGAACCTTCAACTTCCTCTTGAGCGCATTCTGTGCAGATCCTATCTGTTTTGCGCTTAGCCTGGCAGGCTCCAGCAGTCTGAGACCATATGCCCCTTCGTTGAGCGTGGTGCCCTTGATAGACCCGCCGATGGGGACCGGGACCCGCCCCTTGTGCGCCTTGCGATACTTTGTGCGTCGTGGTGCAAGTTGACCCTTGTATCGCACTTGAGCCGGCCCTTCGGGTCTGCGTAGCAGAGCTGCTGCAGACAGTGTAGGCCGCAAGGGCGAAGAGGTAGTGGCTCTGGCCGAAAACATCGAAGTCCGTGCAGCTCCACCAAGAGATAGCGCGCGCATGGAGGCGCCGAGACTGTCGAGAGGGGTCATCATGCCGCTGTTCCAAGACTGGTCGTCACTCGTCCTTTGATGCTCTTCCAGAATGGCTGAGTCTGCGATGAAGATCGTCCGAGTGAGAGATGCCCGGTGCTGTTGTAGAAGACGGTGGAAGTGGTGCTGCGCAAAGACGAACGGAAGGCGCTTGGCACTGAATGGCGTCGCGCAAGTGGTAGGAGGCAGTGAATGGCCGTCTCAATTCGAGGAGATGAAGCTTGTTCTTTTGCTCCAAACGGCGACCTTGGTATCAGCACGGAAGCAATCGTGAATGTGAATGGAGACAATGAGTAGCCTCATCAGTCAGCATCGAGTGACGCGGAGGAAGATTCTGTCATCGCACGTCACGTGTGCGCGAAGGCTGCGATGAAGCGCAGGCGGTCCGCTGGGCGGCCAATCAACAACACCGCAAGGCGAGAAGGTCAGCGCACGATGTGCTGCCATCCTCGTGCCCCCCATCGTATCCTCCAGCCTCGCCCTTTGCATCGGGCTCACTCATCAGTCTCTGTGCCAGACTCTTTGCGAGTTTTGATTGCTGGACCCGCGCACCTTTGCACTCGAATCGGAGCAACGCTTCCCTACCCTTTGCACCATGTCTGGTGCTCTTCCCTCACGCCTCGCTCAGGCCTCGCGCTCTTCTGCGAACTTTGCCGAAGCTCAAGCTCGTTCGCGAGCTCTTTACCGGGAGTTCTACAGATCAGCACCAGAGGTGGCAGCGCTCTACGCTCTCGACGTGCCACCTTCAGTCTTGAGGGCTAAAATCAGACAGAAATTCGAGGCTCAGCAACATATCAAGGACCTCGCAGTTCTCGACGTTCTGCTTCACAAGGGAAGGGTCGAGCTTCAGGAGACGCTCAATGCATGGAAACAAATCCCGCACTTGATGAAATGGTTCAAGGAAGAGGAGGTGAGTCCCTCTCTCGAGGCAGATCAGGAAGGAGAGGAACTCGTAGCAGACGCTAGATGGTCAGCGTTGGGGTGCGATCGCTGCTCTCTCGAGTCGGGCGGCGTGGTCGTCGAGCCTTCCTTCTACAACAGACTCAAACCGAACGCCTGCGCGTTGTCGCCGAGCGTCGACATGCGCTCAACTCTCGGCGCATCGTATGAATTTTTGCGCGCGATTTTATGGATGCTGATGGTGCTGCATCTATGCCCTGCCATCATTCGTCCCTGGCTCGTAATACTATAGGCTCCTCGTAAGTACTTGCCCGCATGTATGCTAGCGTCCACTGAGCACTCTGGGACTGACGATGATACCTCTCTATTTGCGAATCGCTAGCCGTTCCTCAGACTTTCTTGGAAAGATTCTACGCTGGAAAGGACGAGGGAGGCATCACCCCCACTGGCAAACCCATGTAGGGATCAGGCTGTGTACGGACATGACTCTGGAATCGGCAACGGAAGAAGCGACCAGGTGATGTCATGGCCAGTCCACAAAGGCAAGTCGCCACTCTGATCACCCTGCCAAGGAGGGATGGATGCTCGACACTGTGATTAGTATCGCACCACCTTGACAATCAGTAATTCATGCTACGCGACGTGTCAAACGTGCGTCGTGAACTGAGCAACCGATCTGGTTTCGGGTGACTTGGGCGGGACTACTGCATCGGCAATCACGCGTGGAGGAAGGTCATACGGACACTTGGATCACATGGGAGACGTGCCATTGAAGCGTGATAGTACAGTGTGGGAACCATGAAGCTGTGGTAAAGACAAGAGAACGCCGAAGATGAGTCAAAGGCTCACTGGGTCGTTGAGAGTGCGTGCGTATGGTAAGATGAGCATGAAGAGAGCTCGTGGATTATGAAGAAGACACGACGTCGCTTCGTGGACTGTCTGACACGCATCGCGTTCTCCGGTTGGAATGATCAAGAATCCTAGCACCGGCCAAGAGCCGCTTACTTGGAGGAAGAGAACTTGGTCACCGACTTGGTGCCCTCAGAGATGGCGTGCTTGGAGAGCTCTCCAGGCAGGATGAGACGAACAGCGGTCTGGATCTCGCGAGAGCTGATGGTGGACTTCTTGTTGTACTGAGCAAGCTTGGAGGCCTCGGCAGCAATGCGCTCGAAGATGTCCTGAACGAAGGAGTTGAGGACTGTAAAGCGGCGAGTAG